ATTGGATGCCGTTAAATTTCATGTGCGTGTAAAGGCAGGCGTCCCAATACTTTTGGCAATATAGTGTATGTTGTTGGACTTGCCCAGGGGCAAATGCCTCCCTGGCCTCCAACCTAGTCCTCTCCTTGCTACAGTGCTCATGTGCTGATAGGAGAATTGAGCAGATTGCCCGAGAGATGAGCTCATCAGTCTGCTACTTATTCTTAACTTGCAACAGGTTAAAAATCAAACAGGGCTGTACTGTGTGGCAGAACAGTGTAAATCTTAGAGCAGGACAGAAACACAAATCCTTTGGTGAGTAAAACAGTTCCCATTATGTATTTTATCTGTTTTCCTGGAGTTTGGATTTGGGATTATATCAATTGTTTTTGTTCATGTCTCTGTTGTTACCAGGGGCGGGCTGACCATTTGGGCACTGCCCGAGGGCCCAGGGTCAGTAGGAAGCCCCATGAGATGCCCCTAGTACCTTTTAATAGGCTTTTTTGGGTGTGGCTTGAGTGTGGGTGAGGACACAGGGGCCCCATGATCCCCTACTGCCCAGGGGCCCCATGAGTTGTCAGTCCGCCCCTGGTTGTTACATGGACATATGTTGTTAGATATCAATTTCTCATTGCTTTTTCTTTAATATATTTTCATTTTTCATGTTTGCTTTTTAGAACCAACTTACACTCGCTTTAAACTCAATTTAGGCTCAAGGATCTGAAACAGCTATAGACTTGCAGCGCTGCCATCGCACTGCATGAAAAACAAAAAAATTTAAATATAGCCTACACGAGATTGGTCTTAATCTTGTTTGACAACATTAAATATTAGTAGTCGCTGAAGGTGGTGACTGTAACCAGCTCAATATGCTGCTAAAAATGTGATAGTTCAGCAACCAAACAACAGAATTTCCTAATTTGTGATGACATAATCTTTTGTTTTAGCCCAGTTCCTTTTTTTCCTAGAAACAAAAACACTTGTGAGCCTGTAGATTCTAACATTGCCTGCGTGACTTATGTCATGTGATGGATGGACGAAGCTACAGTATGCCACTCTAGTTAGAGAACGCTGTTTGATCTGTTTTCTTTTTGACATTTATTGATGGAGAAAAAAATAATGAGTTGTGAATTTCCCCAGTATGGCTCAAAAATGATCACTCTAGATCTAGAGCGGCCTTTCTCAATCTTTTTAACATGGAAGAACCCTTGAAATAACTTTCAGGTCTCAGGGAACCTGCTTTATCTACAACTCACAGTGCATAGGTATGGTGGTCAATGTGAAGAAAGCTCCTCACTTTGATGGTCAGTAGGAAGAATGCCCTTTTATTCAGGTATATAAAAACATCATTGGTGTCAATGGTAATTTATCCAAGAGTCAGAAATTCCTCATTGTTCATGGAATCCTGAGCAAACTCTGGAAGAACCCTAGCTGAGAAAGGCTACTCTAGATGAACCTTCAGCCAGTGGACTTCATCAAATTGAAAGAACTGGGTTCCCTGCATAAAGCAGCCAGTCAAATTCCTCTATGCACTCCTTAAATCTGTGGTAGGAGATAAATAGCTTTTATGGTTATATAATGGTCTTATGTTTGTTGTCCATATTAAAGGAAAAAAGATAGATATACTAATTTTCTAACTTGTATGATCAAAATTAGAAACGGTATGTGGCTGGTTGCTATCAGGAAGCCCTATACCTTACTCAAGTGTTATATATACAGTGTGTACTATCTATCTATCTATCTATCTATCTATCTATCTATCTATCTATCTATCTATTTATTATATATATATTCCAAAGGGTAACCATGGATCACCTGCAAAGAAATCCATACAAATCCACAACTGAAACTGGTATAAATAAAGGCACTCATGGGTCTTGCATAGGAGATAGATCAAAACAGCAGCAATTTTATTGTTGATGTTTTGATGAAACCCAGTCCATTTTTCTCAGGTCTTGGGAAAGATGAACTGAGCTTCATCTAAACATTGACAATAAAACCACTGCTGTTTTGACCGATCTCCTCTGCAAGACCCGTGAGTACCTCTATACCAGGGGCAGACTGACCATTTGGAAACTCAGGCACTGTCCGAGGGCTCGGGGTCAGTAGGGGGCCCCATGAGATGCCCCTGGTACCTTTTTCATAGGCTTTTTTCAGTTTGGGCAAGGACACAGGGGCCCCATGATCCCCTATTGCCCGGGGGCCCCATGAGTTGTCAGTCCGCCCCTGCACTATACCATATATATATATATATATATATATATATATATATATTGAAATAGCTATAGTTTTGATAGAATAGCTTTCTTCTTAGGATATCATGTTTGAACATCAGTGGCCGATTGTCATTCTTGAGCACAGGAACGTTCACATTTTCTTGCACCAGTAGTTATACTCACCTCTCTCCCACACACACACAACATCTATGTTCTCACAGAGCAGAATATTTTCTCTGACTTGTGGTTGTCTCTTCTTATATGAGGGCAGCATATTTCCTCTAGAGGAGGTTTACTTAGTTACATTTCTGCCTTCCAATACTCAACTGCCTACAATCAGCAACACTGTATAGACTTTGTAGAAACAAAGAAAAGGACTCGCAAGAATAGCTAGCATTTTGAAATGAAGATCAGCAATGGCAGCTTTCATATTTCTCATAATAAAGGTTTTCTTTAATACCATGCCTAACCTGGAAGAAGAATGCATTTCAGGGGCTTTACTGCATATTTGTTCTTGGTCAGTGACACAGAGGATCAGCATGATAGCTGATTTAAAAGGAGGTCAGTAATTGCAGTCTGTATATTTTTCTTATGATACGCTTACTTTAAGCCATGTGAACCAGTCAGCAGAGATAGGTTAAGGCAGGATGAGTACTTAGGCAAGGGTAAAGCTTTGGCCCCACCAACCCTTTGATTAAAATTGATAAGACTTTAAATATGCACAGAGAAGCTGCCTCGTCTGCATTTGCTGTACTAACACTGCCTGCCCCACACACCCCTATAAGTGGATCATTCCCTATAAAAAGAAAGACTGGTGCACAGCTTTGATCTCCATTGTTTACTGTAGGAGTATGAGGTTGTAGCTGGGCCCTGGATTCCTGGCTAGGCTGCCTTGTGGATGATCTGGCACTGCCAGTCACATGAAAGTTTAAAGTGGTTGTAAACCTCAGACATGAATTATGAACAAAACTTATCCCTCTATTGTGTGTACTTGTCTTCAGAGCACTAAGTGTCATTTCTGTCTGCTGCCTTGTTCCTCTGCTATCAAAATTAATCACTTCTGACAAGTTTACCAGACACCAAGAGAAAATTGGTGACAGGAGGAACCTCCAGCAGATTGACAGCTTTATCTCTGTTCCTGTGTGCTGTGTGGAGGGGGGTGGGTCTCTTCCCACCCAGGGGGGGACTGACAACTCATGGGGCCCCCGGGAAATAGGGGATCATGGGGCCCCTGTGTCCTTGCCCACACTCAAAACACACCCAAAAAAGCCTATAAAAGGTACCAGGGGCATTTCATGGGGCCCCCTATTGACCCCGGGCCCTCGGGCAGTGCCCGAGTGCTCAAATGGTCAGTTCGCCCCTGTTCCCACCAATCGGCTCTCAGAGCTTTCCTCACTGAGCTCTGCAGAGTGTAACATAAGCTTTCTGCCCTCTTTTTCTGACAGTTCTACAAGATTTTGGCACTTTGGATGTAGAGAAGAGAAGACTGCAGATAGACAGATGCAACTTATGTAGGAGGATTTGTTTAATCTCTGTGTTTCACCTGAGGCCAGTCATTTCACTGGGTGTATGTGAGGGTTTACAACCACTTTAAGGTAGTCAGATCAGTAAGTGAATGTTCTGAATGCTTGTCATGGAATATAGTACTTTGAACATGTACTCTGTAAATGTTATGACTGATTTAAAAAGACCAAAGAAATTAGCTAAAGAGTGTGATTAGAGTATGGCATCAAAAAGGGCACTGGGTACACTTTCTTGATGCTTGTGATTTTTCCCAGGTGCACTGGGGGAGATTTACTAAACCTGGAGAGTGCAAAATCTGGTGCAGCTCTGCATAGAAACCAATCAACTTCCATATTTTACTGTCAAAAGCTTAATTGAACAAGCTGAAGTTGGAAGCTGATTGGCTACCATGCACAACTGCATCATATTCTGAGGGCTCCAGTATTAGTAAATTTCCTCCACTGTGTGCATAAAAAGTACTGAGCTGAACCAATGTTAGCATCGCAGAGGTACAGGATTCTGTTATGCACTTAGCCCCTGATTGTACACAGCCCAAAAGATTTGCTCTGAATGCTATCTTTAGGTTTGGCGGAGCACACCCTGGTATTCAGCCACTTGCAAACATCATTTTCTAATATTCCAAGATAATGGTATTAATTATCATTTTTATACTACAATCCTCCATGCTAAAATGTATATTTTAATATATATCTTCTACCCTGTGCATTTCTTGCTTTTGACATATGAACAGCACACTGTCCATACAAACATTGCCCTGGTAATTACTAATGTTGTCAAGAAAGACCTCTTTCCATCCCCACAACTTTCTTATCACAGGAATCACTTCTTCCTTCCAGCGGCAGTGGTATTTCCAGTAGTAAGATCTGACATCAAAGAGAAATGAACAGAGAAGACCCGGCCAGTGACCCCGACAAAATAAGAGTGACGTCACCTACGCATCAGGTATCACAAGCCATAAAGGACGTCACAAGCTTTATTTACACGGTTCTCACGTCCACATAACACAGCACCTGCAGAACCAGACTGTGGCTTAAAACAGAGGGGAACTCTGCAGCCCCCCTCAGCAGTCCAAAACATACTGTAAGACATTCTCTTGGGTTTAAATTGAGGAGAGTACAAGGAAGAAGTAAGACTTCATTAACCCCTTGGCTGCCGTACGTGTGTGTAAGTCAAGCAGCAGAGGGGTTAACCCTCGGGATGCCAGGGAAACGCTGTGATATGGTGAAGCGGGTGTCTTTGGCAGCTTGGGGTTGAAGATAACTATGGTCATGGTAAAGTGGCTTAAGCCTCAGACTCGAACATCTTCTTTCTGCCTTCCATGCCGGATTTCTCTTCAATGTTCTTACGCCAGTCACCAACATCACGGAGATCCTTCTCCTGAGGACAGAGAAAAACACAAGAATTAGATTTGCTCTAACCTTCTACTGAATGTGCTCTGACTGTCTGGCTGTACAGTTGTCTCCATTATACTTGCCCTGTCCATACTTAAAGGCCCATTAAGGAATATCTAACTTCAATAAATGTTATTCTATTTTGAATAGTGTAGGGAATAATTAAAACCCCCTATAAGGTTTTTTTGACATCTGTGTCTCAATTCCTTTTTTTTGTGCTGAGAAAAAATCTCGAAGTGAAAAGAAATCAAACAAGTCACTGGTATTGGAAGATTTCCCCACTACTGCCATCCCAGAGACAATAGTCACAAGGCCAAATAGAGAGGGTGAATCTTCGTAACGGGACTCAGTGCTTATATTCCGTTTCTTAGAGATGCTACTGTACTTTGACAGTTATTGATAATTCTTTTCAATAAAGTGATGGAGTGTGTTTAGCTGAAATCTCACCTTGTCAGTGTCCTCTTTCTTGACCTGCTTGAGGTTGGCACGGAGCTCCATGTTGACCTTGTGTTTGGAACCCAGCAAGGCACGGAGCATAGCGTCAGCAGACATACGCACACGCTTGAGTGCCGGCCTCTTGAATTTACCTCTAAGGTCAAAGATTTTCTGGTTTAAGTCTTCCAGCTGCAAACAAAATCAAAGAAAGTTTCGGTTAGAGATTTAATTTTTTTTAATGAAGGCATATTCCTCTATCCACACCTTGAATGTGTGAATGGGGGAGTGGAGACATTTTATTTCATTCAACCTGCTGGTTGAACAACAAAATGCATAATGTATAGGCTACCTTAGTTCCCATGTACATTACAGACTCAGATGATGGTCTAACATTACATTTATAGATTTTCCACAACAGAACAAAAAAGCTATTGAGAAATCCAGCAGCAAAAGAGTGACACCTCTTCAAGATAAAAAAAGCAATGGGTGATACAACAAGATATGCTTGTGCAGGTCTGCTTCCCTGTAGACTGCCCATAAACAACCAAATCATATGGGCACCAGCTCTACCTGCCCCTTTCCATCTCCCTGGCACAACCAGATGTGTTGTGCCAGTTTCTTTGTACAGTGCTTTGTTATGATTTTATAATAAGTGACCAATTCATTTAATCATTGGTCTGCCTGCTACCTCCCACTTCTAGAATGAGATGTGCCACCTAGGTCTCCATAGTATCCCCAAAAATGAATAAAAAGTGACCAATACAAGTAGCTACCAGCACTGCTTGCCCCTTCCCACCTACTAAATGCATATCAGTGAATTGCATCCTTACTAACTGATAGTGAGGCACGCAGGGTGCCAGTGTGCAGGTTTATGGAGTTGCCTGATCTATGGGTGGTACTTTCATTTGTTTTCCTTAATACTGGTTTGCTCTTAGCAGTGGTACCCCTGCAATTATATGCACAGGAAAATCACATAACCATTGGATGTTAATCAGGTTTTTCACTATGATATCATTAAAACCTAATCAACAAGTTTTGATGATGTCCATGTATATCCAGTAGGTTGTCAAAGCATCCTAACAGTGACTATATATGCAAATGTCTCCCACAGAGCAAGGTGTAAGGAGATATCTTGCCATCACTGAATAAGTCACCTGGTCAGTGGAACCCACCATAGTCTTTGTTATTTATTTGATGAATACCTCTGATTTATAGATCAGTATACATTATCAACAACTGTCCAAATTCATTATAGACCACTTCCAATCGCTCCTTTTTTTTCCCCTTAAGAGTGCAGAGGTGGTCTGAGGATAACAAGTTATGACTTAGCAAGTCAAAAATGTACCTCTTTGGAGCTCTTCTGGACTTTGACCTCCATGTCGTACCTCTCCTCATCAACCACATCAATCTTGGCATGTAACTTCTTGCAGAATTCCTGGATGAAGAAAGTTAACAAAGAAAGTAAATAAATATGTTTGATCTTCACTAATTGAATTGTTGTAGATGTATACACAATAGGAAATTGACATCTACATGGCACTAACTGGGTTAAGCACATGATTGACTTCTGAGTTTACCAAGAAATGTTTTTTAAAAATAATAGATTATGCTGTTAGAAAAGCTATTGCTGTACAAAATGTTTCTAGAGCTGGGTATTTTTTTGACATGTTTCATAGTAAGAACATTTGTTCATTTTTCTGATCGTTAGTGGGGTCAAATCAATGTTCATTTTCAACCACAGCTATGAGAAAAACTCAAAGGAGCAGGATGGAATTTTTTTCTCAGATGTACAAATTCCTTACAGTGTATGTGGTTTCATTTAGTCTACTCATTCCAAAATCAAATGTTAAAAGCAAATGTACTTAGAATGTTTGTACTAATTTTTGTTTACAATTTTACTAGAGTGTACCCAGCTTACTGTAATATGTAGATATAACACAAAATATTTCTACACATTTACCTTCAGTTATTGAGAAATTAATTACATCCCTGTGGAAGTTGTTGACCCTTTTTAACATATCTATTAATCGGCTTGTATACAACCAGCCTGTCGGGTTTTCCTAAACAATCAATGCCACAGTGGGGAAATGTCCACCGTTAATGTATGGATGGGGAAATTGGATCATTTTCTTTGTTCAGCCGACTGCTTGAACAAAAAAAAAAAATTTCAATGTATTGGCTGCCTTAGAGAGCCCTATTGATCCTGGCATGATAACACCGGAGTGTCCAACCTGCAGACCACCTGTCGCACGCAGCCTACGTGTCGCATGCAGCCTAAGATGGCTATGAATATGGTCCAATATAAATGTGTAAACGTCCTAAAAGTGTTGATTTTTGGGGTGGAATTTTTGTCAGAATGTGTTTAAAATAAGCGAACACAAGTCGCCGAATAAAAATTGCCGGTGTTTTTTTTTACTGGAATTTTAGAAGTTTTATCTTCCAAAAAAACTCTCACTCTTTACAATCACGCCTTATTCGTATCATCAGTTTTTTGGCAGCACCTATTTTCAAGGATGAAGCACATGAAGGGCAACATTACAGCCAAAATATCTGATGAGCACCTTGAGAATTAATTTAGAATTGCTACTACATTCATCGAACCAGATATTCATGCATTCGTTTATCAAAAACAGTGTCAAAAATTGCACTAATTTTATGTTGGCCTGGTTTACTTTTATACTAAAAAATATTTTAAAAAATAAAGTTTTATTACTCAGATAGGTGCATTATCTATATCAGTGATTTTTAACTTGTGATCTGACCGACTTTTTCTGTTCATCAACTATCCTTATTGTTAGTGTATTTTATGTGTGGCCCAAGACAATTCCTCTTCTTGCAATGTGGCCCAGGAAAATCAAAAGATCGGATGCCCCTGCCTTAGGAGGTTCCAAGTATTCCCATCTATCCTAGAACACTGGGTTCTAATTTCATGGATTTGAAGTGGTGATAAATGTAGAGGTGTAATTACTTTTTCCATATGATAAATCAGCATTTTTGGTCATTTGGATATTAAAATGAATACACCATATCATGTGCATGCATCATATGTTCAAGTATGTCACCTCTATCTGCGAGTACTATTTGAATTAAGATCTAATGTTTACCTGTTCAAATATGTTGAAAAAGTCAACAGTTTTTATTGGGGTGTACTTACTTTTTCACACTCTTACATTTAGATGATCCAAGCCAGCACCATAGAGTAACATCTACTTTTAGCTTGACCTGCTATTACTGGTAGAACATTGTTTTGTACAATCTTCTGTACCCCATAGCACAGATAATAACCAGATCACTGTGCCTGTTTTATCAAAATTTAAAAAAGATTAGAAGGTGTTAGGCAGTATTTTGTCCATAGCAGTCAATCAGATCTCCCTTCTTACTCCCTCAGATACATTTGGAAGGAGGAAAGGGAGAATATGATTGATGTTTATGCACAATGCAGACGGTCTTTCCTTGATAACTTTGATAATGAAGCCTGCTGTCAGGCTTATTCACTAAGAAAGGGAGATCACCAATGGCAATCTATAGGAAACCACTTCCTATCTGACAGTGAAGGAGTCTTAAGTCCTACCAAAGACATGCTGGTAGGTAATTGGCTCCTGTCTAAATTTTCCCTAGTATTTGTATGTATGAATGTGAGTTAGGGACCATAGACTGTAAGCTCCATGAGGGTTAGGGACTAATATGAATGTACAATATACACTCACCGACCACTTTATTAGGTACACCTGTTCAATTGATTGGTAACACAATTTGCTAATCAGCCAATTACATCTCAATGCATTTAGGCATCTAGACACGGTGAAGAGGACCAAACCGAGCATCAGAATGGGGAAGAACAAGGATTTGGTTGTTGGTGTCAGATGGGCTGGTCTGAATATTTCAAAAACTGCTGATCTACTGGGATTTTCACATACAACTATCTCTAGGGTTTACAGAGAATGGTCCAAAAAAGAGAAAATATCCAGTAAGCAGCAGTTGTGTGGATGAAAATGTCTTGTTGATGTCAGAGGTCAGAGGAGAATGGGCATTTGATTTCAGCTGCAACAATCAGATGGTAGGGTCAGAATTTGGCTTATGAAAGCATGGATCCATTCTACCTTGTATCACGGTTCAGGCTGCTGGAGGTGGTGGTGGTGTAATGGTGTGGGGGGATATTTTTCTTGGCACAAGCAAGTTGTACCTAATAAAGTTGCGGGTGAGTGTATGTAAAGTTCTGCGTGAATTGACAGCTCTATATATTTACCAGTAATAATAATAATATATGTTTAGTATGTCACCCTAGCTGGCAAAGTCCCTGTTTCTGGACAGTTGTTGGTACCTGCAGATCCTGCAAGGAATGTGGGACGCTCAGAGGGGGGCAGTGTTCAGACAGGTAACTTTGTTTCTCAGCAGCGATGTCAACTTCTTCCTTCTCTAGAGCGGTTTTTGCCACCTGGAGCATCAAGCTCTGTCCGTAGAAAATAAAGAGTGTTAGAAAGCAGCACATTTATAATGCCTTTAACGAGTAAGTTACACTGCGGGCTCCTGGAGTAAGGGAGCATGAGATTCATGACTTTTTTTGCAATCCATTAGAGCGGGATGGCAGTGCAGCTGGTGTAAAGTTGCTCTGTTGTTGAAGTCTTGAGTTTACATCCAAGTACACCTAGACTACACCTTCTCAAGTAGTCAAACATATAGGCTAGTTTAGTAAGCACTTCAAAGAACAAGTATTGGAAAAGTGCCTTTACTTCAAGAATTCAACCAAGCCATCTTTTAAAGTGTACATATAGCCAAGACTTTTTGTTTTTTTTTAGATTTTTGATAGAGAAAGGAAGGGTTAACACCTGCCAATTTATTTTTTGCAGCCTATGTCCCATTGGGGATATGTTCCTTTGCTTCTTGTCCCAGAGATGGAGCAGCAGAAGTGAGAGGAAAGCTCTACAAAATGAGAAATGCCATCTTAGTTGTCCCCGGCCTGGAACAGATGCCCCCAATGAAGGATTTACCCAGATCTCTTGTTCAGGTGACAGCTGTAAGATTTTTGGGTGTTAATGGTCACCAGGACAAATACAGAGGTTGACACAGATGGAAATAAAAACCTGGCAGGTTTTCTATTTCCTACTCTATCCAAAACTAAAAGAAAAAAGTTTTGGCTATACTTACACTTTAACATCATTGATGCTCTTTGTATTACAGCTCTGAATACACCAGAAGTGGTAGCAGCATTGCTGGAAGGTTCTAGTAAGGAGTAATGGCTAAAGCTAGCCATAGATGGGTATAATTTCAAACGAAAATTCTTAGAAAAAGAAGGTTCTGAGAAATTTTGTTTGTTTTACTAATCATTTGTGGGCCAAATCAACGTTCATTTTTGATTGATGATAAAATCTAAAAGAGCAGGATGGAAAATCTTTCTCAAACAAACAGATTTCTGGCAATGTATGTAGTTTTCATTCAGTAAAGTCCATTTATTCCATAATCAAATGTTAAAAGCAAACATCTTCTTTCGAACGACATTCGATTGTTCTAAGAATTTTCGTACAAAGTTTCCTAAGACATTTCTCAAGAATTTTCATTTGAAATTAACTAACCATCTACGGCCAGCTTAAGAAGAGGTCTAAGATCAATATAATAAACTTAGCCACAGATATGAGATACATTATGCTGATCCAGCTGTTTTTGCTCAGATTGTGCTCAGGCCTCTAATGTAATTCCAAAAAAAAAAACTGGGAGTACATCACAGCTGTTTGAGGGTTATCTCGTGTATTCTATCATCACCGATCAAAAATGTACAATGTTTTCAGGCAAAGTCCTTCATCGGCTAATGGTTATTGTGTATGTATAGCCAAAACTTTTTTTTAGTTTTTCAATAGAGCAGGAAAGGGTTAAACTCTTGGCATTTTTTTTTGCTTTCTATGTCTGGCTGGGGATATTTACCTTCACATTATGTCCCTTAGGCACAACAGGAAGAAAGAGGAAGCCCTCACTTCAAAGGGCCCATTCATGTCTGTTCACTTATGGGCATTGCTTATTTTCACATGGCATAAGGCATGTTATGTCACATGTTAATGTACCCTGCGTTAAGGCATTCCATTCATTGTTGAAGGCATTGCCAAATCACCAGGGCGGACAGTAAAACCCACCTGCGGTATTTTTTTCTCACAGAGCGAACCACAACACGCAGAGGTGGAGGTGCTTTGGTGGGGCATACAAATGGAATGGCATCACAGCACACCAATGCACATAGCGTTCATTACATTACTGCAGGGCTGTGAATAAGCCATTCAACAGGTGTCCCCAAAACAGATGTCCCCAATGGAAGACCAATTCCCACCTCCTGTTCTAATATAGTCACAGAAGTTGGATCTACATAGTGAGGCACAGACCGCATTAAAAACTTGGCAGGGATTCTAACTTTCCCTACTCTATCCAAAACTAAAAATAAAACAAGTTTTGACTCTACATAAACTTTAGGGTAGATTTACTAAAGGCAAATAGACTGTGCACTTTGCAGTCGCACTCTTTAACAGCAGTTGCTCTAGAGCTTGGTAAATGAGCAGGAGCTCTGAGGACCTCCATCATCCAATCGTGTGCAAACAAAAATGCAGTTTTTTTTTTTTTCCTTGCAGGTGATTGGTTATTCTTTGTAAAGTGAAGCTTTATCTCATTTACTAAGCTCTGGAGCAACTGCATTTTGTAGATGAGTGTTTCCTTGATTGCTGTGGACTCTTTTGTAAATGTTGCACTCACACTTTGAGCCAAAGTAATATAAAAGTGCTACTAGATAATATTAAAAAAAGTAATATAAAGTTCAATTAGACAATATAAAAAAGTAATATAAAATGCAATTAGATAATATTAAAAAAAAAAGTTATATAAAATGCAAATAGATAAACTTACAACACATCACAAGCTGTTAGGGTTTGTAGTAACCAATAGCAACCAATCAGAAAACAAATTTTAGAAAGTAGATGGATAGATCCTTGAAAGCTGATATTGAACTGGTTGCTACGGGTGAATACAGCCCACCACTTCCTATTGTGCTCCATACAGTGGGAGATTTACTAAAACTGGAGCACTCAGAATCTGGTGCAGCTGTGCATGGTAGCCAATCAACTTCTAACTTCAGCTTGTTTAGCTTTGACAATTAAACCTGGAAGTGGATTGTGTTCTATGCAGGACTGCACCAGATTTTGCACTCTCCAGTTTTAGTAAATCCCCCCAGTATATTAAGAGAAGAGAAAGCAAGACTCACTTGGTAATGTTAACAATTAGAGCCTCATGCCTACCCACACATAGTAACATACGCTCACACAAAAGGGCATTATAGTGAATATGTATAACAGGCATGTATATGTAATTTTGGGTTACATTAGACAGCCATCATGTCATTTACAAATGTAACCTACATTATATTGTTTTTTTCTCTTATGTGTTATAAGCAATCGTTGCTTAACCATTTTTTCTTACCTTCAGGTGTGTTCTACGGGAATTTGACATCTTAGACATCTTGGCGGTTTATGTGATACCTGCAAATGAAACACCAAGAATATCACGGTCAGTAGGTTCATTGTCTCTGATATAAGCATTAAGACTGTATTGATGCCAAAAAAAACACCCAGCATGTACCGGTAAGTTCTGGAGTAAACTTTGGTCCTGACTTCTGCCTACAAAAATTTCGAAGTTCTAAACTGAATCCTTGGCTGTTCTTCTTTTTCAATCTTTCCCCACCCCCTAAATAGACCACGGCTGGGGGATCAGAGACACTGACACCTGCCTCCTCTTTTAAGTCACTCGATCTCATGGGAAGTATGAGAAACTGTAAGACTTTCCCAAAATATCTTGAAGAACCTTTAAGGAACGTCAGCTGTCTCTCCTCGTCCAAGTTGTGACTGCCCAGCAAATCTTCACTGGCAGCCCCCATCCCATAAAGAGGGCACAGGTGAAAATAGTGAGGATTATGTACTCCTGCTGCTTGATCCTCACACTGGACATATTTAGGGAGGTCTGATTTCATACCCCAAATAAAGAACATGCTGTACGCTCTTATAATGCTAAGAAGCTCTGTGCACCTACCCAGAGTCACCATGGTGAAAACTTTGGGATTTATTTAATAACAAAGCACGAGAGCAACGAACCCTTACCAACCAATCACAGCACAGCTTTCCTTAGGTGTGTGCTCCGACCAGTCCATGATTTTTGATTAGTCTCAAAGGGTTACTGCTCATTGCGCATATTACATAATGCCATTGGGTGCGTCATTACGAAATTCCTATGTGTAAACAAAGGGGCCTTTATAATATTTATCGGAAATCCTCACAACTTCTTAAATCAATTCAGACACACTGAAAAGTTCTATATATTATCTATAAAAAAAAAATAATCTCTGCATCCTCAGTAAAGTGAACACACAATGACATAATAAATTGATTAAAGCATCCACTGGAACCATAGCAGTAGGTGACAATTCCCAGTATACCACACAGCATGCTGAGGCTTGTGGTTCAACAGTTTCAAGAGACACCATACCTGATACATAATAGATCTACATGATTCAAGATGCCAATACCAAAAAAATTAGCTTGGCTACACAAGTACATTAATAATAAGTACCCAACATGTTGCAAAGTCTTAAAATGGCCGATAATGCTGAAAACTTAGAAATAGAGCTATTTAGATGAGTTGGTTTGATAAAGGCATAGAATATCACTGGCCAATATGGAGCTGCGTTCACTATGAAATACCCAATTGCCTGGCCAAGCTAACAAAGATCTCTTCTAATGCAGCACTGGCAGCTCTCAAAAACATTTTTCATATAATTGACAGAAACATCATTAAAAATGCTTGTCAGTCTCTTCCTAAAACCAAACTGCAACATGATTTTCTTTTATTATTTACAGTTACTTATAAAGCCAATATGTCTATTTACACAGTGCTTTGCATACATATTATACATTCACATCAGTCCCTGGTTTTAAAGAGCTTATAATCTAAGGTCCCTAATTCACATTCCTATGTACAAATACTAGGGACAATTAAGACAGGAGCCAACCAGAATGTCTTTGCAGCGTGGGAGGAAAATTCAGTACCCGGAGGAAACCCACGCAGGCACAGGTAGAACATGCAAACTCCACACAGGTAGTGCCATGGTTGGGATTCGCACCAATGACCCTAGAGCTGCCAGGCTGAAGTGTTAAACCATATTTTATATCAACTTTGCTCCACTGTTTTAAGAAAACAAGGTATCAGGAACACTAAAAAACCTTTTGCCATGCACAATACACAAAGTATGAAGACTCTAAGAAACCCCTACGAGTGTGAAAAATGCTTTTCATAAGAGATATGGCACTTTTTACAGTATATGTATATATGCTTATAATAGGTAAGCTTGTCTGATCAATCATTTTAACTCTAAAAAGTCATTTATTTCAGTGGAAGTCATTTTCTAAGCTGGAATGCCAAGAATTGGTCTACCACAACTTTTGGACCTCAAGACTATAGGTAGCTAGATGTATAGCAATCTGATTACTATGAATCATTGGAGCACTGTACAATCACTGATCATTGATGGTGATTCCACACTGCTGGTTGAGAGGCAGCATCATGAGGACCAGTTTATACTTCTTCATCCCAGCTCAAATCTGTCTATTAACTCAACATATTGCATGAAACTTTCCAGAATGTCAGATCTCTTAAAGTGCACACGGAGCTCTCCCAGTGCCATGATTCCTATGCCAAGACATACCATACAAGTTTCTCTTCCCGTGTTTACCCAGCTTCAGGTTTCCAGTGAATGCGTGACAAGAGTTTCCAAAGACGATGACCATTTATAAAACGCATGCGGGTGAAAAAATGGCCAGTTTTTGTGAGTTGTATTTATTTTCGTTCAACGTGTATCTTATACATAAACTCCTACTCTACTACTTTTTAACTGTCATGCAAGGTATGTAATTATCAAAATAGCACTTTTTAGTAAAGAACAGAAATTCCATATTTGAGCACTTACCAGTTTTGTGAACTCCCCCTGACATTTTATACATCTGACAGTCTTACAAACCCGATGATGAATCTTAATTTCAACACACACACACCCTCTTGTCTCCAGTTGGCTGGATGATAAATATTGACTGCGCTAACAATTATAATTACCCTAATATATACCCTAAGATATGATACCATGACCATTAATTACCATATATGTAATTATAATTTCTATTTGGAATATGAATTCTTTTTATTGCAATATATATATATATATATATATATATATTGTTTATGTTGGTTATTTCAGCAGTTAATTACCAACTCTTTCTTAAACTCATTTTAAATATGAAATCTACCCTTATGCAATGTAATATTACACTGCATGTCTCTCACCAGGAAATGGTAATCTTGTGAAACTGGTGTTGTAAGAAAAATATGTTGATAGGGAATATGATACCATTGTATTCTCGGTATTAAGGAATGGCCAAGGCTTGGTCCTCATAAGCTCTGCACATAAGGCCAGATAACAGTTGCCCACTTGCCAGCTGTTTTGGGGCCGTTCTGTCTCCCCCTGATATATACATAGAGTGCATACAGTTGTCTCTGAGGATTATTTTGCTGTAACATAAGCCCTAGGGTGCCTTATTTCCCTGGCCTGGCTTTTTTTTCTTACCTGTCCCTTGTGGACGGAGCCCTCAGAATGAAGCAGGGGTTGGACTGTAAGTGATGGACATTGAGGGGGGTATTAATATGCTGGGGGAGCCCTGGTCATTTGATTTCTAGCTCAGTAAGGACATGCAAACCCCCACCAGCCAATCACATGCCAGGAGACACAAATACTCAGGCCCTCCTACCCCAGCTCATCTTAAGACATCTTAACCCTTTGATTGCTTTAACATGGCATTAGATCACTGAAATCCTTACATTTTTTTCATTGCCCCTGGATGAATACTTAAGATTTTTTTGGTTTTTGGTTTACCTCCCCTGACATATATACACACAGCCTTTTGTTAAAAAAAAAAAAAGTGGTGCCAGTGTCTCAAGTCACTTGCGCTGCATTAGTAGGGAAGCCCCTTGTCCTATTCTTGAACTAAGCCCACCTGTCTCTGTGTACAGCCAGTGATATATGATACTGTTGCCCATCCAGTCTATGACATTCCTTGCTATTTTATTACTGCTCATTCACACACCTCTGCCCCACAGTGTTCTCAAACATTCACTCTTGTTGCTCCCTGGGGACACTAATGAGTTAGTCAATATAGGAGAAAAAGCAGTAATGTGCTGCCCTCCACTGGACAATACACTAATTGCAAGTGCATCACCTCTACCCTTACAGGAGGTTCCTTACTGTACAGCTGGATATTCTCTAGCAGACTTTCAAACCCTATTGCAGGCCATAGACGGGGCCGTTTATCGGCCGAAGCGAAAAATCGGTCGGACCCGCTGCCGATGCTGCCACCCATGTCCGCGAAAAACGGCCGATTTTCCAGCACGACTGATAAAAATAAATGAGATCCACGAAAAACAGCCGACAGGCTGGCCCCACTAAAAGGCGTGGTTATCGGCCGATTTTTCGTGTGGACGAAAATTCGGCCAATAATTGACCCGTCTATGGACTGCATATGTTACCAGTTGTATATTCTGGAGCTGATTACTAAAAGAATAAAGGCCATGGACTAAGCAATTATGTGCTAGGAAGCATTCATTATTTTACGTTTGAATTTACCCGCACATGATTGAGAATTCAAGGTCCATGTACACTTGAGCTCAAAAAAATGCTGCTTTTACAGGTGTTGGAGATTTTTTTTTTTTTCTACTGCTGCCTCCAAACGCCCCTCCATGTTAGCCCCATCAGTGTAGCCTATCAGTGCCCATCATTTCTGCATATCAGTGCAGCATCATCAGTGCCTCCTCATCAATGCCTACCAGTGCTGCCTCGTCAGTGCAGCCTATCAGTGCCCATCAGTGCTGTCTTTCTGTGCAGCCCCTCCATCATCAGTACCTCCTCATCAATGCCTACCAGTGCTACATCATCAGTGCAGCCTATCAGTGCCCATCAGTGCTGTCTACCTGTGCCACCTCATCAGTGCCTCCTCATTAATGCCTACCAGTGCTGCCTCATCAGTGCAGTCTATCTGTGCCACCTCATCAGTGCCCGCATAAACTACTAAATGCCTGTAGGAGAAAAAAAGTGTCATAGAGAATACAATGTGCATGTGCCCTCAAAGTGAACGCAGCATTATTTGTGTGCTTTTCAAAATGAACATACACTTTCAAAGTGAACATTTCTTTGCTATGTGATCGGGAGTGATTCCTACATACCTCCAACTCGTTCTAAAAAATAGGAAAAGAAGGACACACAGAAAACACAAGGTACAGCGGGGAAAAAATAAGTATTGAACACATCACCATTTTTCTCAGAAAATCTATTTCTAAAGGTGCTATTGACATGAAATTTTCACCACACGTCAGCAATGTACATGTGTCTCTGTGTCTTTGCTTATACAATTATAGGGGATATTAAC